ACAGCCCACGCCAGAACAGGCTCCTGGTAGGAGCTGTGGCCCATGGAGAAGAGCTCATACAGAAGCAGGTTTTCTGGCAAGGAACTGTGGCCTATGAAGGACCCATACTGGAGCAGGCTGTTCCTGTACCCCATGGAAGGGATCCACGCTGGAGCAGTTCTTGAAGTATTGCAGCCCCTGGGAAAGACTCTCATTGGAGAAGTTCAGGAAGGACTGTCTCCCATCGGAGGGAGCCCACGCTGGAGCAGGGGAATGGCGTGAGGAGGAAAGGGCAAGAGAGACAGTGTTATAAACTGACCACAAATCACCAGTCCTTATCCACCTGTGCTACTCAGGGGCAGGGAGGAGGTAGACATCGTGAGTGGGCTGGGAAGAAACAGAAGTGGGAGGAAGGTGGTTTTATTTCTCAATATCCTACTCTCTTATTAACTGGCAATAAATGAAATTCTTTTTCCTCAAGCTGACGTTTGCCTGTGACAGTAATTGCTGAGTGATCTCCCTGTCATTATCTCAACCCATGAGCTGTTTCATCGTATCTTCTCCCCCTGTCCTGCTGAGGAGGGGGGTGCGAGAGCAGCTTGGTGGGTACCTGGTGGTCATCCCAAGTTAGCCCACCACCCTGACACACAGAGGGGACTGACACCACCGTCCTCATCACAGTGCTTTTCTGCAAGGTAACACACAGGACTGTGACTTCAGAGAGGCAGCAGAGGTGTGGAGGGCAAGGCTGTGAGGTCATGTTTAACCAGCCAATGCCCAAAATCAAACCTCTGAGCCCACTTAAACAAGCCATGTGTCATCTGAAATTACATCTACCTCCTGAAGACAAACAATTTGCTGTAGAACAGAAAGGCCATGGGTGGCTAGAGCGTGAATGGCAAGGGTATATTCTCCCCCAAACTGACAAGGTATATTGAGGTTTTAAGAGGCCTGCCAAAGCACTGAAATTTCTCTATCCATCATTCTGGAAAGCCAGGGAGATCTAGATCTACTTTGTAGAGCACAGAGTTAACGAGCTACACTTAGGTCATTGTAGGCACAAAACACATAGTGCTGGGAACAAAGAAAGGCAACGGTGTGGCCAAAGACAGGGATGCCCAGCTCTGAACAATGCCTCTCCTCTGCAAGTTGCAGGGAGTGCTTTCCTTCGCTGGCCATTCCCACCGGCCCAGCATGTATGTAGGTATCATCCTCTCCATCTGGGATCAGCAGTATCACAGGCTGCTCATGCTTCCCTGATTTCTGCAGAGCAGGGAGGCATGCACTTCTACTGGACAAAGCTGTGAAGATGCCCCATCTCCCACTGCCTGCAGGCTGGTGCTCCAGCAAGGCCAAGAGCAGCAGAGCGCAGGTTTTCTGGGGATGGTGCCCCTCCACAGGGGCACTGGGACTGGAGTCCGCTGGAATCCTGGACTCCAGATTCAGCAGCTTCCTATCTGAGCCTCCTAGTGAGGGGCTAATTAATGCTTTCTGGGGGCACACTCCAGATGGACTGAGAAGGTGAGAGACAGACAGACAGCCAGGCCAACACTTCAGACATCTGAGCCAGTTGGGCTCCATGGGCAGAGCTTTCTGCCTGCCGCTCTCCCCAGCGAGTCTCGCCTGCCCTGCAGCGTCACGCCAGGAGAACCTGAGACAGCGAAGCTCTGGTGTCCGTGCAGTTCCCTCGTTGCAAGGCATTGATCGGAGCTCTCTTAAAGAAAGTGGCCTGGATATCTGAGATACCTATTGATTGCTCCACTGGCTCTCTTCCTGCCCTGATCCTCATTCACTCGGCATTGCCTGAATAACCTGCACTTGTGTGTTAGGGGCAGTCTCCCCAGATCTTAAAGGGCTACATTCACAGCTGTTTGCCCAGCTGCAGCCCACGTAGAGAAGACAGAAGATGCCTGGTGACCCTCATATGCACTCCCCCAGGGTAGGGCCTAAGTCCCTCCTGCAGCATCAAGCTGAGCATTTCAAGCGTAAGGCAGAAGCTTGAAGCCATGGCTACCTGGTTTTGCCATCTCTGAACACCGGTGCCTCCTGCCTGAAGAACAGGCTCACGCCACACGCCCAGCAGACAGGAGGTGGTATGTGCATCATGTATTATGACAATATCCAGGAAAATCTTCCCTCAGTGAGAAGAAATCATGAAGCCTGTAATACATACTAATGGAATATCATACTCTTCTTCAGAGGAAGGACAGCTTCTTTACTCAGAAATGTCCCCATTAAGTTAACAGTCCAGTGCCGAGGACATGAAAGAGAAATCTGTCAAGAGAAAAACTGGTTTCTAGATCTCACCTTTATCCACAAAACTGTTTTTCTCCAAACTCCTGGTAATCAAGCAGGAGAAAGAACCTGGCTTAGCAACCTTCTGCCATGGATGAACCCAAGGAAGAAGAGAGAGGTACACCAAGGCAAAGTAGGAAGGGAAACCACTGAAAGGAAAAAAATCCTTCACGTAGTTCAAGTATCAAGACAGATCTTGTCCTAATGAGCGCTTGGGGATTGCAGAATAGGCTCTCTGGGGAAACCAAGACATGAGGGATTTTTAAAAAAAGTTAAACTACTAGAAATGTAGAGCTGGGAATACTCCTGCCCTGGCAAAGAAAAGGGATGAATGAGCTAATAGGATGACAGATCAGAGACGGAAAAGACCAATGAACCTTTTCTAATCCAAAATCCCTTGTCAATTCTGCATTTTTGAGCAAGTCAAACAATTATGGATTTGTTCTTTCCAGAAACTCCTTGGTCTGTGGAGACCAAAGACTGTAAAACAATTTTTCTCCCTTTTTGGATTTTGCTTTTAAATACGCGTATTGATTGAATTCTGTATACTAATACTTTGTGCTTCCACCAGGCTTCACATAAAGTTAACTAATCGGTCCTCACAACCCTTTTGCAAAGCAAAGCAGTATGACCCTTATATCTCAGCTCGGGAAAGTGAGCAAAAGAAAGAAGAAGAAAAAAAAATGCCTGTCCAACATCACTTGACCACTCCGTGTCGGGACACAGGAATCTTATTTGCGGATTGCTAGTGTAGTCTCCTCTGCTCTTCTTGATATTGTCATGTGTTCTTGCACTCCATTACTATCAATAAATCTTTACACTGTATATTCCACAGCTCTAAATATTATGGGCAGGATCACAGATACACTAACATCAATAGCAAACCACCCTTCCCCAGTGGCTTTAATAATGCCGAATCAATCCCTGTATGAATAACTAAATACACTTCAGCACAAAAGCAGCCTTAGAGTCAAATTTCAGTTTGCCATGAGTAGTATCCCAAGGGATTCAGGACTTCAGACACAGCACAGTGTGAGTGAACCTACGCTGCTTTCCAGCTTAATTCAGGTCTGGAAAGACTTAACTGTTTTCACACAACTTGGATGCTAAGCCACAAAACCCTTCACGGGACCCTGCTCCAGACTGTGTCACACTCCCAGAACTGGAAGCAGTGGATGTCCCAGCCACACAGCCGGATGAGCCAGCGCCTGCTCCTGCGACTCTACTCCCCCAGCTGCCAGCTCTGAGGCTCAACTGCTTGGATACAGGGCACACAGACACCGGCAGTCGGCAAGCCTGGACACACGCTGCTGCTCGGCAGGGACTGGAGCCACATCAGGCGCTTTTATGGGATCCCTGAGAGCAGGCTAGAGCACGTTACCAACCTGCACTCCCACTACAGCCAGTGTCACTAGTGACGCTGATGGCCAGTGACTGTTGACCAGTGATTGGCACGTGAGCAAGGGGATCTATCCCCTCTCCGAAATACCACATGCAGACAAGCAGGCTTCCAGCGGTCCCACTCCTAACACCAAAAGTAGGTGCCTCCCTCCCAGCATTGGATCAAGATCCTTTGACTCTGTCACCTCTACACTTAGGTCTGGGAGGACCACACTGCACACATCTGCATCTCCTCCCCTTGGTAACTGGTGTGGTTTAGCAGGACCAGCTATTGAACCACAGAAACTACACATCTGTCAAAGGACAGAACAGGGTTTAACATCTAATCTACATTTTTAACACTGACTGCCATCAACTTGCCTCTTAAGAAACGAGAGTGCCCTAGTGCAAAGCGATACACGCTCAAGTGACATGGTACAATTCATCACCAACTGCTACGATGGTACAGCTTGGAAGCAAGCTGCGTGCTGGCATCCTGGCTCCTTGTGCAGACCACAGCCAGCTGCTGTTCCTTGTGGTAAAACAGAGGTACCACGCTCTGCCAGGCAGAGGGTTACACACAGCACTTCTCCTTCCTTCCCCCTTCTCCCCTCCATGCCTCTCCCAGAGGGACCCAAGGGAAACAAAAGCTTTAAAGTAAATCCATAAGAATGTGTTTAATTGCCACTGAATTCCCGGTGGTTCACCTTGAATGGACAAGGATTGGGAGGGGGGTGGGGGGGAGGAAAAGCAGCACAACAGAGAAGCTGAACACTCCTCAGGGCACGCTGAACAGATCAATAGGCTGAGCACAACGCTGGTTGAGCATGCAGGGCAGGGGACCCACAGCTCCCAGACAAACCTGTGCTACCTACCGTCTTCAGAAAGTCTCCCGGGTGGGAATAGGGACAGACCTTCAATGCACACTGTGCCATAGCTCGGCATTAACTCCATCCTTCCCTTATGAAGCCCAGCCAACCCAGTGACAATCAAACAAGAGCCTCTCCTTCCCAACACTGCAAAATGACCTGGGGGGCAAGAAGAGCAACACCCTCCAGCCTGTGTTTCCTTTGGGAAACTGTCTAGCACAGCCAATTTCCAGTTATTTGTCAAATTTACAAGTGCCAGAAGTAATATCCTAGCATGAGGGTGCTGCCTAGAACAACTCTCCTCTCTGGACCGCCCTCTTGGTCACTGCCATCCTGACTCTTTTACAAAGCCTGTAAAACAATACCTTCAGAAAGCCATAGAGGGCAAGCGCGTTGTTAGCCTACGAGATCCTGCAAGGCCCGGAGTCCCAGGTGCTGTTGGGACAGAGAACAATTCTCAGTCTGACTCTGTCTTACCTTCTTTTAGCATCCCCACTTTGAGGCATTTCATGAAGCGACAGGCCTGACAGGACTTGCGCCTCCGTTTCGTGATCTCACATTCATTGGTGGCCGGGCAGCTGTATTCAATATTCCCTGCAATCAAACACAGAGAGGGTCACCCAGGAACCACGTTCCCCCCACTGATCCAGGGACAGGCTGAAGTGCCCAGTTACTCCCACTACCATCAGTCGCATATGCTGTGTGCTTGCTCACTCATTTGCACACACACATACTCTGAGAGCCCAGCACTACTTGTCAGAATTCACTTCAGGAAAAAAAGCAATGCTGCTTCAAGTATTGGGAGAAATCTGTCCATCTAAGGGGCTGACTGCAGTGCTGGGCTTTCAGGCACAACACATCCTCCAGGCACATCATCATCCCTTATAACCTGGCCTGTTCCCTGAAGTCCAGGGCTGAGAGTAGGAGCAGTTCAGACATCAGCAGCATTCCCTTTGCTGCCAGTCTTACTCCATGGGGAGGACATGTCACCTGGGGGACAAGAGAGCTCAAACATGGCATTTCTACCTTTGCTTCCTCGTGCCAGCTGGCGTACTACAGGTAGCAGGGGAAGCAGTAGGTCTGGATTGAGAAAGATTAATAAAATGCTCTGTAAAATGAACACAGGCAAACCTTTCCAGTTTTACTTTTTTAGTCCTTGTGCACCTGCCTCTCACCCCTCTGCACAGAGCATCAGCATTTCTTTCTCATCACCTCACAACACTGCCTCTGAGACAAAACAGGGAAAGAAGCATCCCAAATTTATTTCTGGTCACATTGTATTCTATCATAAGCCAAGAATGTAACTAAAACGTGGGTGCAAGGGTCTGATATGAGGTTGTAAGTGGAATTATGCGGGATCACAGTACAATACAACAATAATTTAGTCCTAGAAGACAAAAAACAAATGGCTGTCTCCAGCCTGCCATTCACTTTGGAGGTAAAGTTTCTGAAGAGGGCTATTCAATGTTTGCTGTGGAGCGGGACTGGAAATCTAAGGCTGACAGTGATGCATTGACAGTGACAATACACTGAAGGCAGTCTAGCTACTGGGTAAATCAGGCAGCTCTGAAAAGGATTCTAAGATCTACAGTCAGCTCAGAGGAATGGAAAAGTTGGTTTGGTGGTTTAGAGCAGGAAATTGAGATTCAAGAGTTCAATCAGAGCTGTAGGAAGGACCGGAGGTAAGAGCTGAGAGAACACACAGTATGGGCTTGGTATACCATGAGATGAAAGTAGAGCTTACAGTTTAGTAGCATTGGGACTGGACTTGATTTTCATTCCTACTCCTGTAATGGATTTCTATGTTCTTGTGCAAGACCCTTCCTTCCTCTAAATCAAGACCAACAATCTGATACATTCCAAACTCTGAAGGTAGTGATTAGACCTTGGGGATAACTAAGCAGCTGGAAAGCCCATTGAGAATCAGAGTGGAAAGGCAGAGCAGAGATTCAAAAGGAAGAAAGCACCATTTGATTTATCTCACTATACTTGGCCTGTGCTGGTTGAGACCCCAGGAGAACACAACCCCCAAAGCCTATGGCTGATCTGTCTGCTACCTCCTGCCTCTTGTTTTGTCTCAAGTCTTCCAACTTGCCCCTAAACTCCAGCCTAGCCACCCCATTCCTCACCATTGCTCATCTGCCCCAAAACCACAGTTTGTCTGCAGGAGCAGAGTGTGCTGCACAAGTTGCCTCCATTCAGACTGTGTTTTGTCATTGTACAGCACCTGAATTTCAATAGCCAACAATGTATCAGGGTTCTCAGTTGGAAATTGAGATTCAGGCTTCATCTCAAGGTAATAAACAAACTCCTTCTCTAGGCACAGCACTCCAGCACATTCCAAACTCATGAGTACGGAGGCCCTGACCTCATGATCAGATACTTGCTGTGCCCCACACAGGAAGGAACAGAGCAGGAACAAACGTGGGATAAAACTTGAACAGAGTCTCACTTTGGAATGTTTTGCCTTAGTTTCAGTGATCACCTTTCTCAACAAAGCCAGGACCAGAGTTCTGGACAGATGCAAGACTTCATGTTTTATGGTCCCAGGGCCAAAGATTTGTCTCCTAATGCAGAGACACTACCCCAAGGGCACTGAGCCCTTAGAGCAGTGAGAAGCAGTGACAACTCTCAACTGGCAGCTCAGGGTCCCTCTACACTGTGTCAAGCAGATCCCCCAGCTTCCCCATGCCTCCAGCTCACAGACCCCTTGACAAACAAAGACTGGAAATGGTCTACAAAACCCTCATCACAACTAAACGTGATAGTGTCAGGGCAGGTGTAGGTACTGGTTACCATATACACGCTGTATGTACAGCTCGAATAAGCAGTTCTTAAAGGCACTTCTGTACTGGGATGGTGACTGTCACAGAAGCAGAGCCAGAGCAGGGCGGGCGGGCACTGGGCAAGCTCCCCTTCCTGAACGGCAAAGCAGTGGCCACCACGTAGTGCAGCAGCCACGTGGTTTGCTGGTAAGCACAGGTGAAAAAACACACCCAGCACCAGTGGGACATCCCATTCAGCATGTTTACTGCCTTCACATTGCACCACCTCATGTGCCACTTCCACACACTGTGCCTGGTCTAAAGGCAGAATGCACCAGTAGCTGTGTCTTACAGCCCTCTCTACAGGAGCAAACGCTAGAGGTGATGCCCACCATACCCTCTTCACACGAGACAATGCTGCCAAAGAGACAGTTTCATATCAGACCCCAAAACCTGCTCTGTGCTGCACAGACTGAGAGCTACAGCTGGGGGCAACACCTGCCATTATTGCAGGAAACAGGGACATCACCAGGGAAGGCACAATCAGCATTACCCAAGCAGAACTCATCCAAGAAAAACTATCATCTCCAAAACTTTAACAAAGTTCTCTGCCTTTTTTTTTTTTTTTGTGTCTCAATTTCTTTTATGGGTCCTGGGGCTGGCTGCCAGCACAGTGAGCTGCTCACAGCTCCCTGTAATTTCTGTAAGTGCCCTGTGATAAAGTGATGAGATTAACTCATCGAAATTCCAGCAGTCTCCCAGCGGCT